CAACTTCCTCTAACCCCGATTTAAATCAACCACCATTTTTCTAAATCGGGATAGGAAACCGCTTCCACATGCCACCCCGCCAATCCAAGACCTCCCGACGCGCCGCTGCTGCCACCTCCGCCGCTGCTGTCACCTCCGTTGTCCCCTCCACTCCATCTTCTCCCTCTGCCCCACCTTCGTCCCTCCCCATGGCCGAAGGCACCTCAAGCATCAACATGGGCTCGCTCCGCATGGATTCCGTCGAGGATATCCATCGCAAGCTTGTCAACCAGCCAGGCACCGGGGAGAACACATCTCTCCTCTCCATGTTTCAAACACTCTCTGCCTCGCCTCCGCAGAATCGAGGCCTTCGTGACCTCCATATCCAATCGCGTCACCTCCCTCGAAAACCACACACCCGCCATCATCGTCGTCACGACGTCACCACCCCCCTCCTCCTCCGGCCAATCCATCCAATCCACCCCTGCCGGCCAAACCGGCCAACCATCTTCTTCCGGCCAAAATAGCCAACCCCCCTCCTCCGGCCAATCTGGCCAAAGCCTCTCCACCGGCCAAGCCGGCCAGGCCTCATCATCCAACACCACCCCCCCACCGTCCTCCACCACACCTTCTTCCACCCCGTCACTTCCCTTCCCGTTTCCCTCCCCTCCTCACAACCTACTTCAAGCGCTTCCACCACTACTCGAACCACTCCCCTTCGCCTCTCCTCCCCCCTCACCCAACCTCTCCTAACTACTTCCACCATCCCCTTTGTCCACCCCTCTTACTCCCAAGTCCTTTCTGGCGTTTACCCCGCCATACCCCAACATCCTCCTTGCTACCTCCTTGGTGACCGCAGTCAAGATCACACCTGCTACGACACCTCTCCTGACAACCGCAACTTCAACAACCTCACTTGCATCGTCCCCCGCAATGGGGACATTCCCCGCTCCTTCCGCGCCACCGATATCACGACGTTCTCCAGCCGCCCCCACGAGGACGTCCTCCTTTTCCTCTCTCAAATCCAAAATGCTTTCGACCTCCACAACATGCCCCTCGCTCATTGGCTCCCCACCGCAACCTCCCGCCTCCAAGGCGACGCCGCTCACTGGTGGTTAACCGAAGTCAACAACCGCCGAGCCAACGGCCTTCCCCGCATCACCTTCCTTCAATGGGCCGACCTTCTCATCGCCACCTTCTGTCCGCAAAAGACCATTGATGACTGCATCGATCAATTTTGCAACCTCCGCCAAACCGGCCCCACCGAGCGATTCATCCATTACGTTCGCTCCCTCCGCCTCCACATCCCGTCGACTCTCATTCCCGACTATGTCTTCATCTCCCGCATCAAGCGGGTATGCTTCCCCCACCTCACCGCAGCCCTCGCCCATGAGCCCGAGTCCCTCTCACCGATCTCCTTACCCGACTTCTCCACCATGATCGCCTTCCTCACCTCCGCTCTCAACGACCAGTCGCCCCCAACCGCACCCGGTTTTTCCACAACATGGCCTCCAACGACTCGTCACTCCCCTCCGACGACAGCTTTGACTCCTCTCCCGAGTCCCTTGAACCAGCCAAATTCACCGAGGAAGACTTCCAGGCTGTCCATCTCATGAGGATGGAACGGCAACGCCTGGCCTCCCCCTCGTCTCAAAAAGCTCACCCCCGCTGAACGCGCCTTCCTCCAGGCCAACGGCGGTTTTTTCCATTGCCGCCAGCTGGGGCATCAGCAAACCAATTGCCCCAAGGCCGGCCGCTCCACCCACCAGCCTTCCCGCCCCACCGGATCCAGCCCTCCCACACCCACTTCCTCCTCCTCCACCGCGGCCTCTGGGCCCTCCTCCACTTGAACACTGACCCCCGCCCCTTGTAGCCATGTCATGGCATCAACAATTTGTCTGCCAGCGACGACTCTCACACCAAACACCCCCCAGGCGTCGTGGTCTACTCCGCCTGCCCTCCTCCCGACGACGTCCTCTATTCCGTCGGCTGAGCACCCCACGGCCACATGTTCCACTACCCTCCTCCCCAACCCCTCCACCATCACTTTCTCCGATCTCGTTGAGGAACAAGACCGACACACTCGGCTTGTTAGATTAGGCCTCGAGCAGCACCGCCTCAACGCCATGATCTTCTCCGTTTGTGCCGGAACCGCCCAGTTCCAGCTCAAGTTCGTCGCCGTCTCCTTTGGAGCATCGACGGTGAAGTTATGGGCCCTTCTCGACATTGGTGCCACCGGCAACTTCATCACCGATGCCTGTGTCCGCAAAGCCGGCCTCCCTTCCACCGGCTATGATTCCCCGATCACCATCCGCCTAGGGGATAAGGACTCCGCCATCGTCGTCGACCGCACAGTACCCGAGACCACAATGACTGTCGGCCCTCTTCGCAGTCAGGTCTCCTTCGATGTCATGCACCTCATGTGCGACATCGTACTCGGGACTCCTTGGCTCGACCGCTACATGCCCTATACCTTCCACCCTTCTTTCGTCCGCCTCTCCACCCCTCCCGATCCACCCCTTGACATACCCTACCTTCCCCCTCCCTCCACCCCTTCCCCCGTCTCTCCTCACCAATTTCTTCACATGACCCGTGAGCACCCCGACTCTGCCTACTATTGCCTTGTCATTGACCGCGACCGTCCCGAGGACTTGCTTCCAACGGACAAACCCGACCAAGACCCCCCCTCCGACCCTCAGATCTCCACCCTCCTATCCGAATTCAAAAACGTGTTTCCCGAATCCTTGCCCGCCGAACTACCTCCCGACCAAGGTGTTTCCCACACCTTCGGTCTCGAGCCCGGCCACTCCCCCCCTTGCCGCCCCCCATACCAGCTCTCCGTCCTCGAGGCCGAAGAAATGAAGCGCCAACTCAATGAACTCCTTGAAAAAGGATTCATTAAGCCTAGCTCCTCCCCCTTCGGCACCAGCTGTCTCTTCGTCAAGAAGAACGGCACCTCGGAACTCCGCATGTGCACGAACTACCGCGCCTTGAACCGGATCACGATCAAGAACAAGTATTCGCTTCCCCGGATATCCGAACTTCTTGATCGCCTCCGTGGAGCCAAATACTTCACCAAGATCAACCTCCGCAGTGACTTCCACCAGATCCGCATCCGAAGGAGGACACCCACAAAACTGCCTTCCGCTCCCGCTTCGGGCACTACGAGTTTCTCGTAATGCCTTTCGGTCTCACCAACGCCTCCGCCACATTCCAATCCACCATGAACCACATCTTCCACGACCTCCTCGAAATCTGTGTCATGATCTACCTCGACGACATCCTTGTTTTTAGCCCCACCTTCGAGTCCCACCTTGATCATCTCCGCCAAGTTCTCGCCATCCTCCGCGACCAAAAATTCTACGCCAAGCTCAGCAAATGCACATTTGCTGCCTCTAGCGTAGAATACCTTGGTCACATTGTCTCCACCGACGGCATCCGCATGGACCCCAAAAAGGTCTCTGCCCTCGTCGAGTTCCCCCCTCCCACCACTTTAACCCAACTTCGCTCCTTCACGGGACTCGCCAACTACTACCTCCCCTTCATCCGCAACTTCTCCGACGTTTCCTACCCTCTCCATGAGCTCACCCGTGCCACCGAACCCTTCGCCTGGACAGACCGCCGCCAAGCCGCCTTCGACGAACTCAAGGAGCTCATCACCACTGCCCCCGTCCTCAAAATCGCCGACCCCACTCGCCACTTCTTCGTCACCACGGATGCTTCCGACTTTGCCATCGGGGCCGTCTTATCCCAGCACTTTCCCCCCGACCCCGCGGAAACCCCCTCCATCAAGGACTCCCCCACTCACTCCCAATGCCCACCCGGCGAGCACCCCATCGCATTCGCCAGCAAGAAACTTCTTCCGGCAGAAATGAACTACCCATCCAACGAGAAGGAGCTCCTCGTCGTGGTCTACGCCCTCAAAGTCTGGCGTCCGTACCTCGACGGGCAATACTTCACCATCCGTACCGATAACACCCTCGTCTCCTCCATCTTGACCAAGAAAGACATCACCCCTCGCCAAGCCCCCTGGCTAGACTTCCTAGCCCAATTTACCTTTACCATTTGTCACACCCCTGGCAAGAGCAACCGCGTTGCCGATGCCCTCTCCCGCCGCCCCGACCACAAGCCCCCTGAGAAAGTCTACGCCACCATGACCCACATCCAGCTCCTGCCATCGCTCCACCATCGCTACACCCAAGGATACCTCTCTTGCCCCGACTTCTCCACCATCTACAACAAACTCNCCATGACCCACATCCAGCTCCTGCCATCGCTCCACCATCGCTACACCCAAGGATACCTCTCTTGCCCCGACTTCTCCACCATCTACAACAAACTCCGTGACCTCGACCCCGTTTCCGGCTACGCCCTCCACGACAACCTTCTCTACATTGAAACCAAAGGCACCCGCCGACTCTGCATCCCTGACGCCCGTGGCCTTTGCACCTACCTCTTGGCCGAGCACCACGACGCCAAGACCGCTGGCCACCTTGGTTTCCAGAAAACCTTTGATACCATCTCCTGTTATTTCCATTGGCCTTCCCTCCTTTCCGACGTCAAAGCCTACATACGCTCGTGCCCCACGTGTTAGGCCGTCAACCCCTCAAACCGGGATAAGCCCGACATGCTTCAATCATTGCCCATCCCCACCCACCGCTGGCAGTCCGTCTCCATGGACTTCGTGTGCGGTCCTCCCAAGACCGACCGCGGGTATGACTGCATCTACGTCATTGTTTGCCGCTTGACCAAACGTGCTCACTTCATCCCATGCACCACCTCGCACAACGCCAAAGACATTGCCATTCTCTTCTTCGACCATGTCGCCAGACCCCACGGCCTCCCCGAGAATATCATCAGTGATCGTGACCCCCGCTTTCTCTCCCAATTCTGGAAACAACTCTTCAATGCCTACGGAACCACGCTCAGGTACAGCACTACATTCCATCCACAGACCGACGGACAGACCGAGAAGATGAACGATACTCTCAAAAGAATCTTGCGGAAGTATTGTCATCCACACACGCACGATTGGGATCAGCTGCTCACCGCCGCCGAGATTGCCTACAACAACGTCGTTTGCCCTTCCACTGGCATGTCCCCCTTCTACCTTGACCTTGGCTATCACCCACGCTTGCCTTCTGACTTCTTGCTCCCCTCGCAACTCAACCCATCCTCCCCCTATCCCTCTCTCAATGAATGGGTTGCAACAATGAACCGTCTCCTAAGAGRAGCAACCGAGTCAATCAAGCACACCCARGAAYAACRAGCTAAACAAGCCAACAAGCATCGTCGTGATATCACCTTCCAAGTAGGGGACAAAGTCTGGCTCTCCGCCAAACGCTTTGAACCCGAACAGGGCTTGTCCAAGAACTCTCGAACAAGTTGCTCGGTCCCTTCCCCATCATTGAACAAACCTCTCCCGTGAACTACAAACTCCAGCTACCCCCTGACATGAGCCGTGTACACCCAGTCTTCCACGTAGAATATCTCAAGGAATACCACGAATCCCCGCCTCAGTTCGCTAATCGCCCATATCCTCGACATCCATCTATCATGCTTCCCACTGGACCAAAATTCATAGTCGAATCAATCATAGGAAGAAGAACAACCCAAGTCGCAGACCATCCGGAGCCAATCACCGAATACAAAGTCAAATGAACCGGATACCCTGACGAAGAATCAACATGGGAACCCCTTGAAAATCTCAAGAATGCCATGAGACTTGTCCGCGCCTAAAATCGTTCCCACCCTTCATCCTAGCTACCCCCCCTGCCCATACCCTGACTAAACCCTGAACCCTTGCTTCAACCCTGCTACAACCTCGCCACCTTGCTCTACACACACCCCCGCCACAGCCACCCTTGCCCTTGACCCACTTTCCTGATGTCTGATCTGCCCTTGTTCCTCACCTAGCCTTGCCCCATTCGTCCTCTCCACCTCCTTGTCCATCTTGTCCAATGTTTGTGGACCTGCGTGACGACCGGCGATAAAGGATCTAATGGCATGCGCACGAGGGCGATGGCTTGCTGCAGCACTGTTCATGGAGATTATGCAGTTGGATTGGCCACCATGCTGCTACAACAGCCAGCACCCTGCCTCACAGACTCCTTGGAGCAGCTACTTGTCACATGAACCATGTACCAGTCTGCGACTCCCTTGCTACCGGATCAGACTCCATTGCCAATCATGTACCGGACGCACCTGNTGGAGCAGCTACTTGTCACATGAACCATGTACCAGTCTGCGACTCCCTTGCTACCGGATCAGACTCCATTGCCAATCATGTACCGGACGCACCTGAGCACTTCGACTTTGGCCTTTTGGACTACCTCTACGACAACCTCCTGCCGCAGCCGCTGAAGACCGCCTTGCTGCCTACTTTGGGACCTGCTCGAGACCTCAGAAGACCCCTTTCTTGTTGCTGATCAAGACACTTGAAGACCCCGTCCAGACCCCTTGACCCATTACAGACCTCTGACTGTGTACCCAGATCCCATCAGACACCCCAGCCCTTGTACATGTGAACTGTGCCCTTGAACCTGCAACATACAATTCTTTTATTTTATTTTTCGTCCCCTGACAACCCATMACCTTSTAGAATTTCAATAGAAATACCYCGTTCACCCTTGTAGARCATCAATAGGAATACCCTGTTACCAGTTTCCCATTGTAGAACATCAGTARGAATACCCTATCCCCTRTTCACCCTTGTAGAACATCARTARGATATCCTGTTACCTGCTCCCCCTTGTAGAATATCMATAGGACTATCCTGTTTCCCTGCAATACCCTTAGCCCACCAGTAGGATAACCCTGTTCACAGCCCACCAACACGACACCCTGTGCCTTATCACCTACATTATACCCCTCTTCCTCCTTCGACTTGTTGACCAGTGATTAGCCCCGTCCCGTCCTTCACAGCTTTCAGCATTCGGCAGTCGGGACGTTGCCTTCTAGAGGGAGGGGATAGTGTTACGGACTCCGCCAGGGCTCGATCCCTGGTCCATCTTTTTGTTGTTTGCTNCATTCGGCAGTCGGGACGTTGCCTTCTAGAGGGAGGGGATAGTGTTACGGACTCCGCCAGGGCTCGATCCCTGGTCCATCTTTTTGTTGTTTGCTGCTTCCCGTTTTTCGGCCTGGCACCCTTTTTCCAAACCCCTCCTTTGGTACCATCGGATTTTGGACAACTGGCGCCATGCTGCAATTCGGGCGCCACTTTCAAATACCACACTTTTCAGTTCTGCCCCCGGGGCTTTTGCAGATCTGCCCCCGGTACTGTACCGGTGCCCCGTACAGTACGGGGGCCCAGTCTCGTACCAGTTTTCAGCTGCTGTACTCGTACTCAGTGTGACTTGCTCCTGTTTCGACATTCAGAATCCAAGACTTCGACTTTGTGTCCTTGCCACTGTGTCTGCGTCCAACCCTCAGTCGTGTCGAGTGAGTGAGTGTGCTCTCTCTCTCTCTCTCTCTCTCTCTCCCTCGGCTCTCCTTGTCTCCCTCAGCCTCGCGCCCGTTACAACCGTGCTCTTAGCTTTAAGTGGCCACACACCCTGGGCAAAGAACCTCATTGAATTGTGCCCGATGAAGCAGGACTGGTTCAATATGAAGCAACCCATCGTTTATGGCCTAGTTTCGCCTTGGTGTAAGAAAGTGTACATAGGGAGGTCAATTAGAGGAGCAGCAGAAAGGTGGTGGGAGCACGTGAGGTGTGCGGAGGCAAGAAAGGGAGGGAAAGCGCCAAAACTGTATCAGTGGTTGAAGAAGTATGGCTGGGGTAAGTATATAGTCTTACCTATAGCTACCACAGACGTTGGGGGCTTAGCAGACCTGGAGAAAACCTTGATCAAGCGTTTCTCTCCTTCGTTAAATGTAGTGGGAACCAAAAAGGTTGGGAAACCCAAAAAGAGGATGGAAAGAAGGGAGCGGAAGGCGAGGAAGGGCCCAATGGAAATTGTACCCAAACGTACCAAACTGATTGTCTTCCGGTCTCAGTATAGCTCAGCAGGTAACGCCAGCCTGAAGTCCATACTGCAATCAGCTCATAAAGCAAGAATGAAAGGGGTAGAAGTGTATAGCGAAGGTGGAAAGGTATGGGGAGAAGAAGGGGCTGTAGTTAAAAGATTTTTCGGTTCCTCAACTGTAATCACGATCGAAGGGAAGATCGCATTTGCACATGCTAAAACACGCTTTGAAAACGGGGGTCATTTCTGGATCACCCTGTTAGTCCAAACGGTTAGAGAAAGGAAAAGGTTATTTGCGACAGCTTCTAGAAATGTCTAACAAGCGCAAAGAGCTATTTGGCATGTCCATCGATAAGCTCATGCACTTGTACAGTAGTGCTGGTAGTTTCCAGGAAAAGAGTACGAGGAAAAAGGTCAAGGACGTAGCTCAGCAGGTAACGCCAGCCTGAAGTCCTTACTGCAATCAGCTCATAAAGCAAGAATGAAAGGGGTAGAAGTGTATAGCGAAGGTGGAAAGGTATGGGGAGAAGACGGGGCTGTAGTTAAAAGATTTTTCGGCTCCTCAACAGTAATCACGATCGAAGGGAAGATCGCATTTGCACATGCTAAAACACGCTTTGAAAACGGGGGTCATTTCTGGATCACCCTGTTAGTCCAAACGGTTAATGTGAGAGAGAAAGGAAAAGGCTATTTGTGACAGCTTCTAGAAATGCCAAACAAGCACAGAGAGCTATCTGGCATGTCCATCGATAAGCTCGTGCACTTGTACAGCAGTGCTGGTAGTTTCCAAGAAAAGAGTACGAGGAAAAAGGTCAAGGACGTTATCGCAAATGCAGTGTCTAAGAAGGCGTGTGTGAATGTGAGGAAGAAAATTACAGTCAAGGTCCAGTTTAGAAAGGAGATCAAAAAGAGTGAGATAAGGCATGTACTGGTGAGCAAAATCAGCTGTTGTGAACTGCACCCTACCATTACAGGTCTGCTGAGCAGGAAACTGAGGGTTGTCTGGCGTAGAAATCAGAGCGTATCCGAAATACTCTGCAACCACAAGGTGTACAGTAAGAAAGAGGACTTCATCTGCACTTGTGCTCATTTCGACTTACCACGGTCAGTCGATCACGTTCTCAGCAGGATTGCGGACGTGGGACTGTTACCCCAGTTCGTTTTAAATGGTAAGAACGTAACCCGTCCCAAGCTCAAGACGTCAGAGGAGGAGCTGAGCATAAGCATCAGACAAGGATTGACTGCAGCCTTAGGTCAAAAGGTGGCCCACACGCTCAACGACTTGCAGCTTGGTAGTTGCTTCATGTCTGGTTGCAACTGAACTGAAGCGGAGGAGGAGCTGGTCTTTGCAGTAAAGCAGAGGTACAAAGAATTGGCCATCTCTCAAGTAGACAGAAATGCTGGAGACTTGGTACTGATGTGCCCATTGCTGTACCAACGCGGACTAGACAAGATGTTTACTTGGAATGTCGTGTATGACATTGCTACCAGCGGCGAGAAGGAGATTTTGACGAAGACGAATAACTACTGAACGCTGGGCTTGGACACGGTTGCTGCGTGGGATAGCAAGGGCGCAATTGGGAAGGCCTATGTCTTACCCAAGCACAAGGATCTTACGCG